ATGTGATGTACAAAGACAGGGCAATCATTGAATCAAGTAGATCCAATACCAAAGCTGAAACAAAGGAATTTGCTGAGTTTGAGGAGATTTCTGGAAATGATGTTCAGATCAATCCTGAAGCAGTTCAAGAAGAACCACACACACCATAACTGAGACGCTCCTCCAGAATTCTTAAACCAACCCAGCGGTATTCTCCTTTTTTGCATTACTTGTTGCCGACTGACAATGGTGAACCAGAGTGCTATGATGAAGCAATACAAGTGGAGGATTCAATCAAGTGGGAGTCTTCCATGAAAGATAAGATGGACTCGCTTATGTCAAATCAGAGGTGGGAATTAGCTGAATTACCACCAGGCAAGAAAGCGCTCCACAACAAGTGGATTTACAAGATCAAAGAAGAGCACGATGGGAGCAAACGCTACAAAGAGAGATTGGTTGTCAAAGGTTTTTAGCAAAAAAATGTATTGATTACAATGAAATTTTTTCTCCAGTAGTGAAATTGTCTACAATCAGATTGGTATTGAAAATTGTAGCAACGGAAAATCTACATCTTAAGCAGTTAGATGTAAAGACAGCTTTCCTTCATGGTGATTTGGAGGAAGAAATCTATATAAGGCAGCCAGAAGGCTTCATAGTGGCATCCAAGAAAAACCTGGTATGCAGGTTAAAGAAGAGCTTGTATGGTTTAAAACAAGCTCCTAGACAGTGGTACAAGAAGTTCCATAGTTTCATGAGTAGCAGTGGTTTTACCAAATGCCAAGCAGATCATTATTGTTACATCAAGAGGTTCGACAACATATTAATTATTTTATTGTTGTACGTTGATGACATGCTCGTTGCAGGATCAGACATGCAAGAGATTATAAACTTGAAGCAAAAATTGTCGAAGCATTTTACAATGAAAGATCTGGGCACTGCAAAGCAGATTCTTGGGATGAGGATCAAGAGAGACACAAAGTCGGGGACTTTGATATTATCACGGGCTGAGTACATTAACAAAGTACTCTCCAGGTTCAACATGCAAGATGCTAAACCAATAAGTACACCTTTAGGTGTTCATTTTAGACTCTCCAAAGAACAGTCACCAAAGACGGAGGAAGAACGTGCACAAATGGTGAAGGTGTCGTATGCCTCAGCAATTGGAAGTCTGATGTATGCCATGGTTTATACCAGACCAGATATTGCTCATGCAGTAGGAGCTGTTAGCAGGTACATGAATAATCTAGGCAAGGTACACTGGGAAGTAGTCAAATGGATCCTCATATATCTGCGGGGTACTACAAATAAAGCACTTTGTTTCAAAGATGGAGATACGATATTGACAGGCTATGTAGATGTTGACTTAGCCGGAAATGTTGACATCAGAAGGAGCACTATAGGGTATGTCTATACTCTAGGAGGAACTGCAGTGAGTTGGGTTTCTCAACTACAGAAGATAGTTGCTCTCTCCACAACTGAAGCAGAATATGTCGCTGTTACGAAAGCCAGCAAGGAGATGTTCTGGCTCCAAAGTTTCTTGGAAGAGTTAGGCAAGAAACAATAAAACAATGTCTTGTATTGCGACAATCAAAGTGTTATTCATCTAGCGAAGAATCCGTCTTTTCATTTCAGAACGAAGAACATATAATTGAGATATCATTTTATCTGGTCTCTTCTGGAAGATTGGATTTTGAAACTTGAAAAGATTAGTGGAGCTCAAAATTCGGCAGACATGTTGACAAAGACAGTGACTACGGAAAAACTGAAGTTGTGTTCAGCTTCAGTTGGCTTGCTAGAATAACAAGACCAGAAATGTTGTTGCATTGATCGAGGTGTGATGACATATTAAAATCAGTCTTCAAGTGAGAGATTGTTGAAAATCAAAGCCACTGGCCACTTTGAATAAATAGGGGTTGCTTTTAATAAATGGGGGCTACTTTGATTTCAAAGTTAGGCAGCCCATTTTGTTGAATTTGGGCAAGGGTTAATCACCAAATTGAGTCATTAAATTTTAGGGTATTTATAAGATTAGTCCTCAAGCTTCAACTATAAATACTCTATTCCAGTTAGCTTAAAAATCATCCCAAAAATCATTTATTTCTCCCAATACTAAAGAGTTTAGAGAGTTCTCTTATGAGTAGTGAGTGTTTTGTAAACACCTGTAAATTTTCTCTCTTTAGTAAAAGATCTACAGTAGTCCGGAGACGTAAGCAAAATTGGTTGAACTCCGTTATCAATTTCGAGTATTATTTTTCCGCTTTTATTTCGCATTCTCACTAATCTGGTTATAGGAAAATTACTCTTTTATTTCCCAACAACTTGGGTGAGAAGTGGTGCAATTGAGGAACCAATCGAACCAAAGCCCAAGCCAACCTCATGTGCCTCAACAACAAGATTCTCAACAGCTTTGGTATTGGCAGCTATAAGCACTCAGCCTTTCTTTTTTGTAAACTTGAAATCAGTAAGGTACCCAATGAGTCTGTAACAACTTTCTCATTGATGATCTTTAACCTTGCAGTAACTAAAAACACCATTAAAACACTTGCGATCAGAATTCCCTAGAACAGAGGAGAACATTGTACCACTATCTCAAAATGACACCATTCCAGACAACTAAACTCGTTGTGACTCATCCTACACAATCATCGAGTATGTCTGATTAATTATCGGCAATGATTGTATGAGAATGATCTGACTACGGATCACTGAATAGGCTTCGTCGAGGCCCATCAAGAACTGGAACAAATTTTATTGAATCAAATGTTTCGGATTTTATTGAGAAATGTCACACTCACAAAAAGGAAAAGTAACCAAAGAATGATCTTCATCCCACAACAATATGAGACGCGTAAAGTAGGCAGAAGTCGTCATCTCACCTCGATGTAATGTCGCAATCTCCCGATGAAGAAAAAATATTCTTAATCCATCCACTTTATCAACTCTATCTCGAAGATCATTCCTAACAAGTGCAGCATTCGTAGCAAAAACTATCCCAGTCGAGAGCTTCTTACTAACTGAGTTGAGAATCCACGACAAAACAATGGAGTTACACCTCCCCCATTGTGAGTGCAACGATTCCTCATAATTTTCCTTCTTCAAAGCTCCATCAATGAAATCCAACTTATACTTGGCTAAGAGCATAATCTTTATTGATCTACTCCATATGTTGCAGTTTTCGATTCTAGAAAACTGATGAGAAACTAGAATCACCCCAGACGTATCGAAAGGATGGAGGAACAAGTGATTGAAATCGATAAAGATAGCCATCACGGATAGAACGCAGAGGAATCCTAGAACAAAACAAATCGGGAAATAACATATTTTAGGATTTTGCTAATAAGTGTTATGGAAAACGTTAAGCAATAAAATGTTATTATTCTAATAACTACACTTAATTAATATTCTTAATCATTCTTAGGAAGCATATTTAAGATTTTTAATAATATACTTCTGTTTCCAAAATATTTTCAAATGTTATTTTCTTATATATAATTGATAAATCAAATAATTTCATCTCAATAAAAATTTTATTTTAATAAAATGACATCATTTAATTCATTAATAATTTATAAAAAAATCTCATAGTTAATTATCAATACATAAAACATAAACTCCAAAAACAATTAATCATTTATTATTGGGCCTAAAATTGAATGTGGAAGTGATGTCAGAGCATACAAAAGGCCTTAATAAAATAGTCCAAAAGAATAGCCCATGCCGTACTTTTGACAATCATGTGGCGTGGTAAGAGAGATGGGAATGGAATGGATTGAAATTTTAGTTGATCTGATGGTGGTGGTATTTCTGTCATCTTTTTAAAGGTTGATTAATTCATTGTAGGTAAGTTTGTAAAGAATCCAACGAACATGAATGAGGGTATATTTATTTTGTTTGTTTTGCTTTAATCAAACAAACGAACGAATACGAACAACTAAACAAACAAAATTTTTGTTCGTGTTTGTTCATTAAGGAATGTAATTTTTTCGTGTTCGTTCATGTTTATTCGTTAAAATGATAAACGAGCACAAACAATCTAACATAAATGAACAAAAATAAAATTAATTGGATTTATATTTGAGAAGAATTTTTTTATTTTTAAATAATTCTACGGTTTATATATTTTTAATTGATTTCAGTATTTTTTTTATTTGGGTTTAAAGTTAACTAGATTTTAAAATATTAATGGATTTAACATTAAAACTTATTAGGTCTTAATGTTTTAAACGAATTTGAAGGTTTGACTGAATATAAATGAGAGAACATAAATAAACGAACATAAGCGAACTTAAATAAATTAACATAAATGAACAGATTACTAAACGTCCATGAACGTAAATGAACGAATGGACCATTCATTTCTGATCGTTTGTTTAATTAAATGAATGTAAAATCTTCATATTTATTCAATTAATAGATAAATGAACATAAAAAATTTCCGTCAAATGATTTACGAATATTTTGTTAAACGTTCGGATTAGTTTGATGTAGATACATCTAAAGCACCAAATTGAATAATCCGATGTGATATCTTTTACGATAAGAGTATGTATTTATAGTGTTTATGTTCGTTTAGACATTGTATTTAATACATGACCACAAATAAAAGAACAATTTTTAATTAAAATTTTAATTGAAAAAGAAAAAATTACAAAAAGAAAGAAAAAAAGAAAATTCTATTATTAACAATTTTCTTTCTTTCTTATCTACTTCGTCCCCTTTATGGGGCATAAAGACAAAAAAACATCGAGAATCAATGATAAATAATTACAAGTAGCAAATAAAGAAACTTATTTTAGGATTACAGAAGGGATACATCCACGAGTCTGCCACACTCCCAACTTCCACCTACTCATCTTCATCTTCCACGTGTCTTCCATCCAATGGTCACACCCATCCCTACCCATCCTTTTTATTCCTCTGCTGATCCGCCTTCCCCCACACCACATCTTCGTCTCCTTCAATTGTTTGTTAAAAGCTTCTGTTTTTCATCAAAAGGCTTATCTTTTTTTTCCCTTGTAGCCATGTTGTTGACAGCTTCCCCTGCTTTTTGTTTGTTGAAGAATCATCAATTGGAACATCGGATTCCCATGTTTTCCTCTCTTTCTTGTCCAAAAAATATGTCTAGGTCTCGGTCTGGTTCTGTCGTTGTTTCTGCTACCAAAGGAGTCAACAGCCAACCACTTACCGGTGTCATTTTCGAGCCCCTTGAGGAAGTCAAGAAGGAAATTGATCTTGTCCCGTGTCTACCTCAGGTGTATTTGGCTCGTCAGAAGCATAAGGATGAATGTGAAGCTGCCATCAATGGACAAATCAAGTGGGGTTCTTGTTCGTTCAGATTTTAAATCAATCTTTATGTTTAGAAAAGGTTTCTTTTTTACATTTCCATATGGTGTCTGCTTTAGGATCCTTGAAAATGGATGGTTCTTTTTTATGGTTTGATCTGCATTTTTGTTTCTTTTACCATGGATTCTTTTATGTGTGTTTATGTTTGGTCTTAAATCTTACATGATTTGTATATGTTCTAATGTTTGGTCTCAAATCTTACATGATTTGTATATGTTCTAATGTTTTGGAGGGCATTTCTTTTGGAATATGACAGTGTGGAATACAACGTTTATATGAATAAATGAGTAATTTTCATATAACCAGATTAGTGAGAATACGAAATAAAAGCGGAAAATAATACCTGAAATTGATAACGGAGTTTAGCCAATTTTGTCTACGTCTTCGGACTGCTGTAGATCTTTTACTGAAGAGAGAAAATTTACAGGTGTTTACAAAACACTCACAACTCACAAGAAAGCTCTCTAGTATTGGGAGAAATAAATGATTTGGGATGATTTTAAAACTAAATGGGTTAGGGTATTTATAGTTGAAGCTTAAAGACTAATCTTGTAAATACCCTAAAGTGCAATGACTAATTGTATGATTTAACCATTACCATTTTCAACACAATTTTAACACCTCGATCAATGCAGCAGCATTTCTGGTCTTGTTACTATAGTATGCCAACTAAAGCTAAACACAACTTCAGTTTGTCTGTAATCACCGTCTTTGTCAACATGTCTGCCGGATTTTGAGCTCCACTAATCTTTTTAAGTGTCAAAATCCCATCTTCCAGAAGAGACCGGATATAATGATATCACAATTGTATGTACTTAGTCCTAGAATGAAAAGACGGATTATTTGCTAGATAGATAGAACTTTGATTGTCGCAATACAAGACATTGTTTTCTTGTTTCTTGCCTAACTCTTTCAAGAAACTTTGGAGCCAAACTATCTCCTTGCTGGCTTCCGTAACAGCAACATATTCTACTTCAGTTGTGGAGAGAGCAACTATCTTCTGTAGTTGAGAAACCCAACTCACTGCGGTTCCTCCTAGAGTATAGACATACCCTGTAGTGCTTCTTCTGATGTCAACATTTCCGGCTAAGTCAGCATCTACATAGCCTGTCAATATCGTATCTCTACCTTTGAAATAAAGTTATTTGTTTGTGGTACCCCACAGATATCTGAGGATCCATTTGACAGTTTCCCAGTGTACCTTGCCCGGATTATTCATGTACCTGCTAACAGCTCCCACTACATGAGCAATATATGGTCTAGTACAAACCATGATATACATCAGACTTCCAATTATTGAGGCATATGACACATTCACCATGTGTGCACGTTCTTCCTCCGTCTTTGGTGATTGTTCTTTGGAGAGTCTAAAATGAACACCTAAAGGTGTAGTTATTGGTTTATCATCTTGTATCTTTAACATGGAGAGTACTTTGTTGATGTACTCAGCCTGTGATAGTATCAAAGACCCCGACTTTGTGTCTCTTTTGATCCTCATCCCAAGAATCTGCTTTGCAGCGCCCAGATCTTTCATTACAAATTGCTTCGACAATTTCTGCTTCAAGTTTATAATCTCTTGCATGTTTGACCCTGCAACAAGCATGTCATCAACGTACAACAATAAAATAATGAAGTTGCTGTCGAACTTCTTGATGTAGCAACAATGATCTGCTTGGCATCTGGTAAAACCACTGCTACTCATGAAACTATCGAACTTCTTGTACCACTGTCTAGGAGCTTGTTTTAAACCATACAAGCTCTTCTTTAACCTACATAGAAGGTTTTTCTTGTCTGCCTCTATGAAGCCTTCTGACTGCCTTATATAGATTTCTTCCTCCAAATCACCATGAAGGAAAGCTATCTTCACATCTAATTGCTCAAGATGTAGATTCTCTGCAGCTACAATTTTCAACACCAGTCTGATTGTAGACAGTTTCACAACTGGAGAGAAAATTTCATTGTAGTCAATACCTTCTTTTTGCTTAAAACCTTTGACAACCAATCTTGCTTTGTAGTGTTTGCTCTCATCATGCTCTTCTTTGATCATATAAATCCACTTTTTATGAAGCGCTTTCTTGTCTGGTGGTAATTCAATTAATTTCCACGTCTGATTTGACATAAGCGAGTCATCTCATCTTTCATGGAAGACTCCCACTTGACTGAATCCTCCACCTGCATTGCTTCATCATAGCACTCTGGTTCATCATTGTCAGTCAGCAGCAAGTAGTGCAAAGAAGGCGAATAATGCTGGGTTGGTTTATGAATTCTGGATGAGCGTCTCAATTCCGGTGTGCTTGGTTCTTCTTGAACTACTTCAGGAATGATCTGAACATCATTTCCAGAAATCTCCTCGAACTCATAAAATTCCTTTGTTTCAACTTCAGTATTGGAGTTACTTGATGGTTGACTTGTCTTTGTACATCACATTCTCATTGAAAATGACATCTCTGCTTCTGATGATCTTTCGATTTTCGTAGTCCCAAATCGGTAACCGAATTCATCACCACCATAACCAACAAAGACACATTTGTTGGACTTGGCGTCAAGTTTACTTCTTTCAGCAGAATCTATGTGTACATAAGAAATACAACCAAACACTCTTAAGTGTGAAAGGTTTATTTCTTTCTTGCTTCAAACTTCCTCTGGTATTCCACCATCCAAGGGAACTGAGGGCCCATGGTTGATCAGGTAAGCTGCAGTGTTGATAGCTTCAGCCCATAAAAATTTGGGCAATCTAGCATGTATCCTCTTACTTCTGGCACGTTCATTCAGAGTTCTATTCATGCGCTCTGCTACGCCATTCTGCTGCGGTGTCATGGGAACTGTTGTCTTCATCTTGATTCCATTGTTTGCACAGAAATCTCTGAATTCTACTATTTCTGTACTCTCCTCCATTATCAGACCTCAACCGCTTGACTTTCAAACTAGTCTCATTTTCCACCATGGCCTTCCATTTTCTGAAGGTATCAAAAACTTCTGATTTCTTCTTCAGAAAATAAACCCACATTTCTTGTAGAATCATATATGAAGGTGACATAATATAGTGAGCCTGCAAGAGATGGAACTGGAGATGGTCCCCATACATCAGTATGAACCAACTCTAACTTTTCTACCTTGGGTGTCTTGCCAATCTTTGCAAAACTGACTTTCTTTTATATACCAAGATGCAATCCTCGCATAGTCCAACATTTACACTCTTTAGATCCGACAACTTCCCTTTGGACAAAAGTGTCTTCATCCCTTTCTCGCTCATATGGCCAAGTCTTTGGTGCCATAGGTTTGATTTTCCATCAGCATCTGCTACTGCAATGATATTCTCTAAGTTTGAGTTACATAGAGAGTATCAGTCTTCTTACCATGAGCAATGACGAGTGCTCCTCTGGTAATCTTCCATTCACTGCTTGAAAAGGTTGTACTATATCCTTCTCCATCAAGCTGTCTTACAGAAATCAAATTTCTTTTGAGGCCAGGAATATGTCTCACTCCTTTCAGCTTCCATATGGTCTGGTTTGGCAACTTTAATCGGATGTCTCCTTTTCCGACGATCTTCAAGGTTTCATCATCAGCTAGATGAACTTTCCCAAAATAAACACTAACATAGTTCTCCATGATTTCTTGGCATGGGGTGGAGTGGAAAGATGCCCATGAATCCAAGATCCATGATTCAATCGGACTGTTGACGCTTAGAATCATGGCATCACCTGTCTCCTCTGTCACGTTGGCAGATTCCTGTGCGCCGGTATTTTTCTTCGGTGCTCGACAATCTCTTTTAAAGTGGCCCTTTTTGCCGTAATTATAACAGGTAAAATCTTTCTTTCCCGTTCTTGATTTTCCCTTTCTGGATTTCGATCTGCCACGATTTGAATTTCTTTCTGAAGTTCTCCCTCTAGACTCCGTGTGCAAGGCTGAAGAGCTTGATGCTTCACTTGATTCTCTCCGTTGAATATCTTCACTCAATACCAGATCCCGAACATCGTCGAATTTTAATTTGTTGTTTTCCGACGAGCTGTTGACTCTTGTAACAGTAGCATTCCAACTGTCCGGTAGAGATGATAAGAGAATTAAAGCTCGAACTTCATCATCGAATTCAATTTCCACGGAACTCAACTGGGTTGTGATTGTGTTGAGTTCATTTAGGTGTTGAGCCACTGATGCCCCTTCCACCATTCGCAAATTGAATAATCGCCTCATCAAGTGAACTTTTTTTAGGCTGATAGCTTCTCATACATACTGGAGAGAGCCGCCATAAGACTCGTCCTGGTCTTTTCCTTTGCTATGTTAAATGCAACATTTCGGGACAACGTCAGTCGGATAACTCCGAGGGCTTGTCTATCGAGAAAAGCCAGTCTTCATTCTTCATGCCCTCTGGTTGTTTTCCTGAGAGAGATTGATATAGATTTTTCTGGTACAGAAAATCTTCAATATACATCTTCCAAAAATCAGAGTTCACACCATCGAACTTTTCAATTTTCACCTTCCCTTCGTCTGCAGCCATCGCTCCCACTCGAATCTGGCTTCTTTGGATCGTTTCTGACAATTTCTGCGAACCGTCATGTATTAGAACACCTCCGTCGACAAATTCGTATCGCCGACAAATTTTACTATTCACGAAATTTACTATTCACATGAATAGTAATGAATAGTAACCTCGCAGAAAAAACCAGCAAAATTCACCACCAAAAGCTCTAATACCAGTTGTTGGGAAATAAACAAGTAATTTCCCTATAACCAGATTAGTGAGAATGCGAAATAAAAGCGGAAAAATAATACCCGAAATTGATAACGGAGTTCAACCAATTTTGCCTACGTCTCTGGACTGCTGCAGATCTTTTACTGAAGAGAAAAAAATACAGGTGTTTACAAAACACTCACAACTCACAAGAAAGTTCTCTAGTATTGGGAAAAAGAAATGATTTGGAATGATTTTGAAGCTAAATGAGTTAGGATATTTATAGTTGAAGCTTAAGGATTAATCTTGTAAATATCCTAAAGTGCAATGATTAATTGTATGATTTAACTATTACCATTTTCAACACAATTAGGCAGCCTACCTTTGAATTCTAAGCAGCCCATTTGAATTCAATAACAACCCCATTTGAATTCAATTTTAACAGCCACCGACTGCCAATATTTTCAACATCCTATGTGTACCATGCCATGTTCGCCTACTTCGATAGGGACAACGTTGCTCTCAAGGGTCTTGCCAAGTAATTCTTGTTGAAATTCTCGTTTTTGGTACCTTTTAGGTGAAGCTGAGCTAACTAGGTTTTTGTTTGTATAGGTTCTTTAAGGAATGTAGCTTAGAAGAGAGAGAGCATGCTGAGAAATTGATGGAATACCAGGTTCAGCTATGTTGTTGCTGTTATTATTCTTTATCATGTAATCCTGTTAATTGTTTTCCTTATTCGACGTCGTTTACTAACTCGCAGAACAAACGGGGTGGAAAAGTGAAGCTGCAGTCGATATTGATGCCCTATTCTGAGTTTGATCATGTAGAAAAAGGAGATGCATTATATGGTGAGTTGAAATTATATGTATGATGTGTCTGATAAGTGGGTTTGACTGCCTTTACTCGCTGATATTTTGCATACACATAAAACAAAGAAATGAAGTACAGATTCATGTTGCTTCAACGTTCACTTGTTGTTAGTTCCATGGATCGTTTGGATATTGTGAGATATATCATTTCGCTGTTTTTATCAAATTTTAATTCCTTGGTGCAGCAATGGAGCTTGAATTGTCGCTGGAGAAACTAACGAATGAAAAGCTCTTGAACTTGCACACTGTAAGACTGTCCTATTCCGTATTGCACGCAGTTGAGCCTTTAGATTTCCAACATGGTTAATAAAGTCTAAGGTCTTTCTGTTTTGCTCAAACAGGTGACTGAGCGGAACCATGATGTGCAGTTTCGTGGAAGGCGAGTTCTTAGTTGAGCAGGTAAGCATACAAAGCTTAAGCCTTTTTCATTTAGGTTTTCCAAAATTACAACAGATGGTCATGATCCCTGTTTCCTTTCTCTGCAGGTGGAGGCCATCAAGAAAATCTCGGAATATGAGGCTCATCTGAGAAGGGTTGGCAAAGGACATGGTATGAATCCAAACTTCTCTTTGTTGTCGGCTCACGATATGCTCTACTCCTGTAAACTTACTTTTGTCGTCCGATAATAGTATATTCAGGGGTGTGGCACTTTGATCAGATGCTTCTCCACGACGGAGCTGTTGCATGAAATCCGAAATCAAAAAATTTGCTTCTCGCTTTTCGTATCAGAGGGTCGATCAGATGCTTCGACAGATTTTGGTTGGGAGTTATATGAATAGTTTGTGTCGATCCTTCGACATTTTATGACTGTTTCCTTTGGTTAAATGCTGCGGAGCTTTGAATAATAGTTTGAGAATCCATTGTTTCATGTAATGCTTTTTTGTCATCCATGTCCCAATATCGCATGAATCTTTAAATTTAGACAGATAATTCGATTTGTGTTTAGTTCTATTTTAACATTTTAAAAACTTCAACTCCTATATGAACAAAGTTCGTTGTTGTCCAGGAACTTGAAAATGTGACCAATCCCATGGATAAGCCACTGGGATATATGAAGTTTAAAGCCATAATCAAAAGCCAGAGAGACCCAACAAACAGAATCTCCTTGCCCATTTTTTTTATTATTCCAACTTCATTGTTAACACAAAAATGGCCATCACGTAAATGAATACAAAAGAAAAATAAAAATATGTGGACTGTGCTTGGACATAGTAGCCTCCACGTCTATCGATGTTTCAAAACATTCCTCATCTTGTATATAATACCATTCCATGAAGTGCATTTCCATCCCACAATTTTTACAACCTTGTTTTCCCCAAGTTTTCCCCTCAAAAATGCCTGGCACTCACTTAGCAGTTTGCCTCTCATCACTGTTGCTGCTCCCATTAGCCTAGCCTTACTGGCATACGAACCGTCCCACAAGAGAAGAAAACAGAGGTAGTCATCGAAGGAATGGAGCGATTTTACCAAAACATCACCTTACATGTCAGGCACCGTTTCGATAAATTTTATCGATCTAGCACCCTTTCTGACAAGGCGCGGATTTGTCCGAGCTGACGCCACGTTATGAAAGTCGCGGATGGTCATCCACGCCTTATCCGAGCTGGCATCACGTAAGGACAGGCGCGGATCGCCATCCGCGCTTTAGCATTTTAAAAATTAAAAAATTAAAACTATCGGGACTAACATCATAATTTAATACATAATAATTCTAAGAGTTGAAAAGCTTAATGGAATTAGCTTATATAGGATATTGGAGTGTTTAGATTATGTTTCTTGGCGATGTGGAATAAAAGCTAAAAGGTGTATTTGTTCATGGACATATTTATATGTATTTACATTATCTTTAGTTAGAAATATTAAGAATATAAAGCAAAATTTACGTAAAAAAAATAGTTCATATATTATTATTATTTATTTATTAAGTATTGATGGACATATCTTTCACATATTCATGTTAATATTATTGATCGATGTTCGGTTTATGGTTTAACATGTACAACGCACGTATAATATTTTTAGAAAAAAATTCAATATTCTTAAGGGAGTTTTTGTGTTCATTTTCAGTTGTTCAAATTACAATTCTTTTAAAGAGTTCTTTATTATTCTCATTTCTCCTCAAAGTTTTCGAAAAGAGTAATTCTGATAATTTCAACTTCAAATTTGAATGTATAAATTACGAATGATCACGTTAATATCAAGGGATAACACCTATTTTAAGAATTATACTAATTAAGACGATTTTATTTCTAAGAAAATAATTCTTACATGACACAATCAAATCTTATTTTATTTTTATTTATTTATTTCTTAGTCGGAACTAATGTTTATATTTCGCAATAATACATTTATAATTCCAACTCCCCTCGTTTCACTTCCACTTATGCAACTACAATAAATCAAATACAGGCAAAATTTCAAACACTCTGTAGGATTTTCATATCTAACAAAAAATACCATATCCGTTACAAAAACTATATATTGCTGAATGGAGAGACAACTGTAAAAACGGGTCCAAAAATTATTTAAATAGTGAATACATTAGGGTTGATGAAAGCGTGCAAATCAATTAATCAATATTGTTGTGAAGAGGGTGCTCGTTAATTTCTCTTATTATCATGTACAACTCATGGAAATACATTTTTTAGTTTTTATCTCACATTGTCAAGAAATATAACTTAAACACTCTAATATGTTTATATAAGCTAACCCCATTAAACTCTTCAACTCATGAAATTAATATATATTAAATTATGATGTTAGTCTTTATAGTTTTATTTTTAAAATTTTTAAAATGTTAAGGCGCGGATGGCAGCTCGGGCGAAACCCTGCAAAGGCGCGGATGACAATCCACGCTTTGTCAAAAAAGATGCTAGATCGGTAAAATTTGATGAAATAATATTTAACAGATAATTATTTTCTGTCAGTGTGATTTTCGATAAAATCGCCAAGAAATGGTGTACTGCCAAAGCAGTGATAGTTATGGATCGGTGTCGTTGTCAAAAGCCGAACCGATCGCCTCAGCTAAAGTTAGTGCAGTCTGCAAGAATCAAAGGGGGCAGGTCAACTTCTACAAGGCGTTTGAAACGGACCCCAAGGATTACTTCTTTGCTGAGTTCCAAGGGTACGAAATGAGTCACTCTCTCTTGGACCATCCTCTCCAATCTTGTGTTGTCAATCTCGTCGGATCGCCTCTCGTGAGCTGCAACGTGATTTCAAATGTCAACAATAGTCTCCTCGGCTCGCCACTTCGTTACCAGAGCAAGAGGCTGCATAGGAAGGATTATGATGTTGTGATCTATGCTGCTGGGCCATTGGCTTTCCGACCACCTCATTGCCCTGCTCAACTCACTATTAATGTCATTATTGATTTATCTATCCAATCCCATCTTAAGAATAAATTAATGGAATGAATTGGCTTATCACGTCATCTATGATTCCTATCAATAAAATTCATCAATTTCAAAGTAACTTTCAAATAATTAATGTGTTTATCTAATGTGTTCAATTAAATTTTAATGATATTTTCGAATAAACACTAACTAAAAAATAAGTATTTAAAATTTGATATACGTGTCTAACATACAATATGCTTAAACTCGAGATTTATAAGGAAAATAATCTTCCCTTTGACTACTAAAGTAACTTAATTCGTGTTATATATTTCTATTTAAATTAATTATACGATGAATAACAAATAAGATAAATAAATATTTATGGAGCTATGTTACAGAGTAATTATATCCTATAATAATTCTACATTAATGTAAACGACTCATCTCCAAATAATCAACATAAATTAATACCAGTAAAAACTATAAATTGTATGATAGTCTTCTAGGAATTTAGAAAAAAGGAACTAGGATAGTTCTCTTATTAATTCTCAAAAGTTTTTATTGAATGTTAGTAATAACATTCATGATCCTAGGTTCAATACGAACTCTAGGTCATATATAAATCATCTTACAAAGCATAAGAGGTTTTCTTCTTCTTCAAATTCTCTCTTGTTGAATTGATCAGTGTTCATCATCTTCCTTAATATTATTATCATTTTTCATAAAATCACTGACTACAATTTGTCATGTGAACCCAAAGGTGTGAATCGTACTATGACGTGATAACCCAAATTTTTGTTGCGGAAGACGGCTATCGGATAGAGCAAAATCGCAACTGATAATTTGAGAAAATAAAAATGAAGATAAAAGAGACACAAATTTTACGTGGAAAACCCCTAAATAATATAGGGTAAAACCACGGGCAACGGTAGAAGAATTTCACTACGAGAAAAATAGGAATTACAACCTCTCTCGATCTACCAAGGAGAAAACAATGATAATTCTCTCTTGATAAAAAGGAGAAAACAACTCTCAAGAAACTCTCTAAATTCTCTCTAGTATTGGAAGAAAGCTAGAATGCTTTGGGATGGTTTTGAAGCTAAATGAGCTAGGGTATTTATAGTTGAAGCTTTAAGGACTAATTTGTAAATACCCTAAATTACAATGACTAATTGCATAGTTTTACCATCCAAAATTTTCAACAATTTGGTGGCCAAATTTGACCAATTTTGCCACCCCATTAATGCCACCAAATTTCCACCCATAATGTTGACAATTGATGCAATTTGGTGTGCCAATTTTCAACAATCTCCCACTTGAAGATTTGATTGGAACAATCATATCTTCACACCATTCTTTCTACCTTGTACCTTTCATGTTTCTTGCGTTTCTGACAAGCCACAGGAGGGTCGACACCAGGTAAATTTATCAACATTGATTGCCTTCGTCATGAAATCTGCTAAGTTGTCTTTGGTATGGATCTTATGCATATCTACCGTTCCTTGTTCCACCTTTTCACGAATGAAATGGTACTGAACTCGTATGTGCTTAGTCCTTGAATGAAATGTTGGATTCCTTGCTAGATGCAAGGCGCTTTGACTGCCACAAAACAGAGAGACGTACTCTTGATTGTGCCCAAGCTCCTCTAATAGCATCTTCAACCAAATTGCTTTTTTACTGGCTTGTGTAGCTGCTACATATTCTGCCTCTGTTGTGGACGTAGCCACAACTGACTGTAATTTTGAAACCCAGCTTACAGCTCCACCAGCAACTTTGAACACATATCCTGTAGTAGATTTGTTTTTATCCAAATCCCCTGCATAGTCAGAATCTACATACCCATTGATTAGTAAGTTTGATCCTCCGTAACATAATGCAACATTTGAGGTCCCTTGATGTATCTTAGGATCCTCTTTACAATATTCCAATACTCTTTGCTTGGATTCGCCATGTACCGACTAACCACTCTCACTGCTTGTGCAATGTCTGGTCTTGTGCATATCATAGCGAACATTAAACTTCCCACTGCTGATGCATACGGTACTCGAGACATCTCATCCTCTCTTCTTCACTGCTAGGACTCATACTGGAGGATAATTTGAAGTTAATAGGAAGAGGGGTAGAAATTGGCTTACAATCTTGCATGCTAAATCGTGACAAGATTTTCTTCAAGTAATTCTTTTGTGAAAGCCAAATCTTCCTATTACTTCTGTCTCGGTGAATTTACATCCTTAGAATCTTGTTTGCTGATCCCAAGTCCTTCATTTCAAATTCCCTAGCCAGTTGTGCCTTCAATTCTTCAATGATCTTTGTTGGGTCCTGCAACCAACATGTCATCCACATACAACAACAATATAACAAAATCGTTAACACCAGACCTCTTGAAATAAGCACAAGGGTCTGTATTAAGTCTGTTGTATCCAAGGCACATAATGAAGGAATCAAATCTCTTATACCAACACCTCGGCGCCTGCTTTAGACCATACAGAGATTTGTTCAACCTGCAAACCAAGTTCTTCTTTTCTTTTCTTCAAAACCTTCAGGCTGGAGCATATAAATTTCTTCTTCAAGATTTCCATGAAGAAAAGCTGTTTAACATCTAGCTGTTCCAAATGTAAATTCAATGTAGCACACATTGTCAAGACTACTCGAATTGTTGTTAGTCGAACCACAGGAGAAAATATTTCATTGAAATCAATACCTTCTTTTTGAGCATATCCTTTGACCACCAGTCTTGCACGATACCTCTCAACTTGATCGTCACCATTTCGCTTGATTTTGAAGACCCATTTGTTACCAATTGGCTTCCTTCCTTGTGGTAGTGGCACAAGGTCCCATGTATTATTTTTATGAAGGGCTTCGATTTCTTCTTGCATCGCCATCATCCACAGTGAAGCATCTGAGCTATTTATTGCCTCCTGGTATGTTGATGGCTCACCATCCTCTGTTAAAAGGCAGTATGCAATATTACCTTCTATAACATAATCTGAGTGCCAATTGGGACATCTTCTCACACGATCTGATTGACGAGTTGTTGGAGCTTCAGAACTCTCTGGTTCTTGTTCATCATGTGCTGGTTCTGCTTCAGAAGAATCTCCTTCTTCAAACTCTTTTTTCCACATGTATCTGAGTAGTCTCTGACTTTTCAGCGCTATCATTGTCTTCTTTTCTTTGTAGTTTATCTTCTACAAAGATAACATCTCTACTAATGATCACTTTACGGGCAGTGGGATCCCACAAGCGATACCCCTTTACTCCATCAGCATACCCCAAGAATTTGCATTTCCTGGATTTGGATCCAGCTTTGAAATTTCTTGGGCGTTGTACATCACGTACACAATACTTCCAAATACATGGAAGTTTGAATAATCAACTGGTTTACCAGTCCACATCTCCATTGGTGTCTTCAGCTCTATTGCAGTTGATGGAGCTCGATTCACCAAATAACAGGCGGTATTGACTGCTTCTGCCCAGAATGATTTTTCTAGGCCTGCATCCCTCAACATTGCTCTTGTTTTTTCTAACAAGGTTTTGTTCATCCGCTCTGCCACTCCATTTTGTTGAGGAGTGTTCGCCACTGTGAACTGTCTTTTGATGCCTTCTTTCCTGCAAAAGTCATCAAATTCTTCACTTGTGTATTCTCCTCCATTATCTGTTCTGAAACACTTGATTTTATTTCCAGAATCAAGTTCCACCCGCGCTTTAAAGTTTTTGAAAGTTGAAAACACATCGGACTTCTTCTTAATAGGGTACACCCAACATCTCCTAGAGTAGTCATCAATAAATGAGACAAAATATTTTGCTCCGCCTAGGGATGTAACTGGTGCTTTCCATACGTCAGAGTGAACCAGTTCTAGAACACTTTTGCCTCTAGAATTTGATGTGTTGAATTTCAACCGGTGCTGCTTACTTGTTATGCAATGCTCACATAAAGTAAGTGATACCTTTGTTAAGCCTGGAAGTAGCTTTTGCTCCACAAGGACTTTCATTCCTTGTTCTGACATGTCCAAGTTTCTTATGACATAGCATTGCAGAATCTGAACTACATGAGGCAACAGAGGCTTCTGCTTCTAGCAATGTCTCTCCCTTCAGCATGTACAAGTTTGCAGCTATCTTTTCACCTTTCAGCACCACAAGCACTCCACGGAACACCTTCATGATTCCTTTCCGTGTTTCAATCTTGCTAGCATTATTATCCAACAATCCGTAGGATAATAAATTTTTCTTCAGACCTTTCACGTGTCGCACATCTCGAACAACTTTAATTGTTCCATCATACATCTTTAATTTGATGGTTCCCACACCAACAATCTCTAAGGCATGATCATTGCAACTATACACAGATCCTCCTGAGACAGGTTCATAATGATGAAACCATTCTCTTCTTGAGGTCATGTGATATGTTGTTCCCGAATCAATGAGCCATATATCTGCAAATAGTTTTCTTCCTTCCACAGTGGTTGACGCTTCACAGCATAGAGCATCTCCATCATCTGAAGTGTTTGCGATATTGCCTTATGGATTGGAGTTTTTATTTAGACTCCAACAATCCTTCTTCAAGTGACCCTTCTTTCCACAGTTGTAACACTTTAAATTCTTCTTGCTTCTCGACTTCGATCTACCATGTTTATGACTGCTGCTTTGGCCACGTTCTGTTGATCTCCCTCTCATCGTTGTTATCGTTGTCAACGTTTCTGCTTGTTGCATATTTACTTGTCTATCTTCCTTGTTCTTGCGCCGATTTTCTTCTTGTAGAACAGCAGCTGCAACGTCATCGAAGACTAGACTGGTGACATTACTGTTTGTCAAGTTGATGATGAGTTGATCATATAAATCCGGTTGACTTTGAAGTAGAAGTTCAGCACGTTCTTGTTCTCCTATTTTACAGCTTAAGGATGTAAGCTGAGAAAATAAAGTATTCAGTGTATTTAAGTGCTCCGTCACTGAAGTAGATTCTGGCATACGGAGAGTGTATAATTTTCTCTTAAGGAAAATTTTATTGTGCAACGATGTGGCCTCGTACAGTTTGGTGAGATGATCTCGTATCTCCTTAGCTGTCTTCTTCTCCTCGATACTTGACAATACTTCATCTGCTAATGCTAGATGAAAGTTTGTCATAGCATTTCCGTCCATTTCGATCCATTTATTATCGTCTGTGAAATCTACTAGCCTTTCGCTGATAGCTGCTAGACAACCCGTCTTTCCTCAGGATGGCCTTCATCTTCAATTTCCACAATGAGAAATTTCTCCCATTGAACTTTTCAATATCAAATTTCGTTGTCATTGCTTCGTTTACGGATAGCTCCCACTATTTCACTATCATGAATAGTTCTCTGGAACCTTCAAAGAATGGGTAATAACTTCTTACTTTCTTATGTTGGAGGATACACCTTTTGGTGGCAACCACAAAGACAATAAGCAGATATTACACACTCTAATCTAGCTCTGATACCAATTATTGCGGAAGACGGCTATCGGATAGAGCAAAATCGCAACTGATAATTTGAGAAAATAAAAATGAAGATAAAAGAGACACAAATTTTACGTGGAAAACCCCTAAATAATATAGGGTAAAAACCACGGGCAACGGTAGAAGAATTTTACTACGAGAAAAATAGGAATTACAACCTCTCTCGATCTACCAAGGAGAAAATAATGATAATTCTCTCTTGATAAAAAGGAGAAAACAACTCTCAAGAAACTCTCTGAATTCTCTCAAGTATTGGAAGAAAGCTAGAATGCTTTGGGATGGTTTTGAAGCTAAATGAGCTAGGGTATTTATAGTTGAAGCTTTAAGGACTAATTTGTAAATACCCTAAATTACAATGACTAATTGCATAGTTTTACCATCCAAAATTTTCAACAATTTGGTGGCCAAATTTGACCAATTTTGCCACCCCATTAATGCCACCAAATTTCCACTCATAATGTTGACAATTGATGCAATTTGGTGTGCCAATTTTCAACAATTTTACCATCAACTAACTTTATTTTTAAAGATAAAGTCCAAACAATTCTTTTAGACAGGCCTAATAAAACCAAAAATGGAATCAGGATTATATTTAACCACTGCAGGTTTATTTGAAGAGGAAGATGCCAGTCTGTAGATCAGTGTGGGTACAATCTTTCACTGGTACTATTGTCCAAAGGAAAAAAAAAGACAAATAATATTGAGCCAACTGAACCAACGGTTGAAAGTATGGTTAGAGAACCAATCAAAGAAATTATCATAGATCAAGTTGAAAGTATTGCTTCATTTTCATACACATACATAGTCATATGGTTAAAAGATTGATCGTTTCACGATATTAAAGAATTATCAACTTTTAAAAATTTAATCATTCGATAACCAATGAGGAAATCCACATCAACATAACATGTTGCTCATTGTTAACAATAATAAAAACAAAGTGGCATTCACGTACAAGAAAACGTTGACCATGCTCGGGACACAGTAGCCTCCTCGTCTATCAATGTTTCCTCCAACTATATAAATAGCATTCCATGAAGCAGCCTTCCAACCCAAAATTCTTACAACCTTGTTTTCCCCAAATTTTCCCTTCAAAAATGGCTGCCACTCACCTACCAGTTTTGCTCTCATCATTGTTGCTTCTCCCATTAGCCTTAGCCGCATACAAACCCGCCCCACAAGAGAAGAAAACCGAGGTAGTCGTCGAAGGAATGGTGTACTGCCAAAGCTGCGACAATTACGGATCGTGGTCACTGTCCAAAGCCGAACCGATCGCCTCGGCTAAAGTTAGTGTCGTGTGCAAGAACCAAAGGGGGCAAGTCAACTTCTACAAGGCGTTTGAAACGGACCCCAAGGGTTACTTCTTTGCTGAGCTCCAAGGGTACGAAACTAGTCACTCTCTCTTGGACCATCCTCTCCAGTCTTGTGTCGTTAAGCTCGTCGGATCGCCTCTCGAGAGCTGCAACGTGATGTCGAATGCCAACTACGGGCTCTACGGCTCGCCGCTTCGTTACGAGAACAAGAGGCTGTATAGGAAGGATTGTGATGTTGTGATCTATGCTGCCGGGCCATTGGCTTTCCGACCCGCCAATTGCCCTGCCCCAACTCACGACTGATTAATCTTCCCACCCTAAATGGATTAAGCTTACATTTTCATTTTGTTTCGTGTCTTAACAATGTTTATCCATCTATGTTGTTGCATTGTTCTGTTTCTTCAATAAATTGAACTCTGCTACAATAAGGATTGCTTCTTCTTCTTCTTTTTTGGCTGATATATATAATTATTTTCATTTTATTTCCTTCCCCCGGGCCCCTTCTTTATTTTGCTATATTTTCTCCAAATTAAAAGTTATTATTTTAACTAAATTTAAAAATGTTCTAATGAGACAATAAAGTTATATATTACTTATCAAAAAATAATAATATAATTTTATGATTGTTTATACAAAACTTTAGAAGGGAAAAGGAGTATTTATAATATTACTTATATAAGATTAATGATATACTTTTATGATTGTTATAAATAATTTTGATTGAATTAACAATAACTTAAGAGCTGCACAATTTTACACCTACGTTATTTCCTTTTATAGTAAGGCACATTGTACTACTATTAAGGAATGAATTCAAATTTAAATTTTAGACATAACATTATTGAATGAAACAATTATGAATCTCGTAATTAAATTATATATATATGTTAATGATTGGGTTTGAGTTTGGGCTTATTTCTCAACTATTCCACTCCCACTTTGTTTATCTAACCGAATGGGCAATGCCTTTGAAAGTCCCATGCTATTGGGTTGTTGAAGGACCGAAAAAATTAATCTGGGACCTATTTAATGATATTTTCACATTGGTATTTTTACAATTTTCTTGATTAGTTTAATCCCTCAATTTTTCAATCCGTTATCATTTTATTTTTTGGATGATTTTCTTTAAAAATGATGATATGGTCCAATTAAATTATGTCATGTGTAAAAAAATATTTAAAAAATATGTTTATTACACGTGACAGAATCTAATTGAGTTACACGATATTTTTATTTAAAAAATGTGAAAGGATTAAAGTGATAACAAATTCAATGTTGAAAGGTCAAAGAATGGTAAAAGGACCAAAGCGAGATTTTGACTAGAGTAGAGAGGGCGTTTTAGGTATTAAGCCTTTGTTAAATAAGCCTAGTCCGGCTGGGATATTTGATGATGCTATGATGAAGTTTGGTTGGAATTTTCATCACAAAGGCTAATATGATGCCTTTGATATTCAAATGCCACTATGACATTAATGATACTTCTGTATAAACTATAATATAAAAAATCATATGATACTATGAAAATATAATTATGATAATATTATTAACATGTGAATTATTTCTCTGAAACATTATGAATATAAATATGAAAAATAAGAACATGATCAGAAAGGGTTTAGGGTTTTAGAATATCATGAATATACAGTAATGGTATAGTTTAAGTTTAAATAGGGGAATCATGACAGAATTGATGCAAGTTGAAGGTTCCTTGAGATCTGAAATTTAACATTTATTAGATAGTAATATCATACAATACACAAACACAAGAGCTCTAGAATTTTGAATCACAAGACAGATATCCTGTGTTTTTAAGATAAATAAGCATCCTATATATCCCATGCTGATGCTAGATCCGCATTAATAGGTCCACGTATTCTCATGCACGTTCCAAATTTACACACAAAAACAAATGTACCCATGGTTGACTTTACAGGTTGGGAAATTGCAGCAGGCAAATAATTTAACTTTATTATTATTTTAATTTTAACTGTCTTCATTTATTTATTTAATCAACTACTTAGAAATTGATTCGATTTTTCATTAAATATATATTCTCAAAGTTAAATAATTTGTGCTAATTAAATCTTAATATCATTAATAATGCCATATTATCAACGCAACTATATAACCAAAAAAAGTAAAAATTTCCATTCGCATATTAAAAGCATACCCATATGTAATTTAACTTTAATTCCCCAAAGCTTAGGGTAAATACTTCCCACCAGTCAATGCGCAACAAATTGCGTGTCATTGCTCTTCCCCAACTGGCCAAACATAAATTCTACTACTGAATATACTATATATGCTTTTATGATAACATTCAGTTCCTTGTCATCATCACCAACTAATAACTATAATAAAATATATTGTTAACTTTTAGTCAATGAACTCTATATATTTTTTCAGTTTAGTCCATAAATTGTGTTTCATTTGTGTTAGTCTCTGAATTTAAATTTTTAATCATTTTGATGATACAATATTCTAAGAGTATGTCACGTATCACTGTATCTGGGTATTACATCATTGAGTCGTTTAATTTAGGGCTAAACTTTGCTTTACCCCTTATAATAATATTTCCTAGGGGGAAAACATGTTGGACGGCTGTGATTTTCCCCCGAGATGCCCGTGCACCCTAAAAACAACCTTTCTTTCTTTCTCTCTCTTTTTTTTTAAGTTTTAGAGTAGTTAAGAAGTTGAAACCTTTTTCCAGTTTTGTAGCTGTCTGCTATGGTCATGCAAGAAGAAAATGCACGGGAGAAATTAATTAAAGAGAGAACACACGAGGATAGAATTGGAATATAAGGTTTTTCCATTTCATGCAGAAATATTTAATGTTACGTCCACCTAAACAGCCTTTTTGTCAAAAAGTTTGGACATTAGTTGATCGCATCATGTGAATAAACAGCACGACTATACATCTTCATATTACATCATTTTCCTTTGTATGTTAGGTTTATATCCTATGTTCGAGTTTTGTAATTGTTTCCTTTTAGTAATATTATCTTCAATATTTAAATACACCATTTCATATTAAACATACAATATATAATTTCAAGTGGCTGTTTCTATAAGAAATTTGATTATCTAATATTTTTCTTCTTAGAATCAAAAAGCTAATAGGTTAAACATTCAAAAATGGGCAGTGATGAATGGTCCATGTCATGGTCAAGAGGGCAAATGTTTCAGACCCTTTTGTAGCTAGCTGTAAGGCTCTAAGGAGCAGGAGTGAAATTAAGGAAGACATTACAAGCCCTTTCTTTAAACTAAATATTGCCCTATTCATAATAAGTTTTCAAACTTCTCTCCTAAACTTTATCCTGGGCCAACTTCATATGTCATTATCCCACCCTCCTGCCATACATATACCAAGTCTATGAAGTTAGAAAAAAGGGTTAATTGTACTACAAGTCCTCAAACTCTTTGCCCTAAACTTTAAATTGATCACTTAATTTCAAAACATTCTAATTGAATCCTTAAATTATGAGGGTTGTATCAACCAAATCAAAACTCTCAAGCTATAGCCATTAACTCGGGCATTAATGACCAACTCAAATGATGTAGATCATATTTAAAACACGTGAATGAGACTGTAAGCACTTTTGTGTCAATTGCATATATTGCATAAATATGATGTGTTAAAAGAATGAAAGAAAAAATCCTCTTAAATTTTATATACACACTCTTTTTCTAACTTGGTAGCTATACTCAAGATGTTCATAGAGTAGATATGTATGTATTTTAAATATGTTCCATTATTTAGATCCAATATGACCGTTAAAACCTAAAATATTAATGACTAGATTGAACAATAGTAATACTTTAAGGACTTAATTAGAACATTTTGAATGTTTTATGTTATAATTTGTGACCAATGGCAGCAATGCGATCCCTAACAAAGAACTAAATTAAGAGAAAAATGAGGATAGGTGAGGAATGCAAAGACTCTTAAGTTAATATAATTTTATTTAACTAGAGTTATCATGTATGTACAATTATATATATATATTCTAAAATTTGATATAGATCGATTTACAAAATCCTTTTATATTTAGCGTCGATATAGTGAATTGTTTTCTCTTTGCATTTGATTTAAACATGAATTCCTTTAAACATTCCTTGTGTAGGTGGCCCACTCCCAAAGACCCCCACCAAGACGGTCCACACGTATGTGATATTTTCTAGGTTGATTTGGTATAGTTCATAGTATTAAAAAGTATTTAAAAATTAAAATTTGTATTAATTATGTTGCCAAAATTTGTCATTTTTGATTTGAAGAGTTATTGAGTACTGTCTTCAAAAAGGGACAAATACCCCAAATCCGTGAATCTCGACGGCATTTCTCACTAAGGCCACCCGCCATTGATTGGTGAGAAACTAAAACTATAACATGCCTTAATTACACGCATGCAACTGGCAAAAAGTGGATGGATTTATTAGCTCTTAGTCCCTTTACGCTTTTCACATTTGAAATATAGCCCCTCTATTCTTTTGATTTGATAATTGAAATCTAATTGATACCAGGGTCAAAGAAATGTTGTTATATTGGATTATGTAGCATTTTTATGAATAAAAAACTCATGGACCCAATTTAAAGCTGTGTGGAAACAACTAACGAGGACGAAGTTAGAGGAGCGAGCGAGGCCTTGGCAAATGGCAAGGGCGAAGCCATGATAAAAAATTGAGAGGAGTCAAATTATTGAACTTCGAGAATATAAGATCTTATTAACTCTTTAAATTCAAAAATTAGAAATAAAGTGTGATTTGTCAAACATTTAAACTTATAGGGATCTAAATGTCACTATATCAAAATATTTGGAGGGCATGACCCCTCCCATCACTTCTTTAGTTGTACTTGGGTCTTGGTCTCCAAAATAATAAATTTATGATTCAGTCCTTAGAAATTGTAAAAGTGTTAATATGTCTCTATATTGAAGCCATGTAAAAGATATCGACTATCATTGTATTTCTATGAAATAATACTAAAGAATCTTCCGATTCCACATTCAACATTGCTTATTTAGCAGATTCCTTTGCCGGTGTTTCAGGAAGACTAAATTAATTCCTTGAACTAAAAGTAGAGGATTACATTTTGAATATGCAAGGAGTACAAGGATTGTGAGCATAATTTGACCTTTCCTTTCATCATGTTATAGTATTGGTGTATATTATTATTAGAGAAGTCACGAGCTGAGAAGCCCTAACCATTTCTTTTGGAGCCAACAAACAGTGTACAGGGTGTTCTTATACTGCGCATTTATAGGGTCTGCCTTCATTAATTAACCCCTATATTAATCACCCTCTAATCAAGATATTAATATCACAAAATATCTATCACAGAAGATGGAATTAACATAAATATATTTTAACATTAAAATATCTATCTAATTAATTAATTTCCACTGAAAGACAATGGTCTTCTTTTGGTAAACTTGGCACCATCTTCGTCATCATCATTATAATTTGTTTGTTTGGTCACCATGAAGCTACCAAATATTAATTTTCAATATGAAATATTAATTACTTACATGGAGCTCATATGAATATATATATATATATATATATAGTAAACAAGTGGGGCTTAGGGTTCATTTTTCTAAAGAATAATAAAGTCTAAATATTCATTCCCTTGTTTGCTTGATCTGGGTAAACTCGGAATGACTTTCAACCCTAAGTCTTTTTCGATCATCCACTTGTAAACAAAGAGCCTCAAGATTTTTGAAACATGGTAAGTTTCGATAGCTTGGAGGATTCCAGGACCAGCCTGAACAGCAACAACAAAGATGAAGATGATAGGATCGAGCCGAGAAACGGAAAGAAGTCTATTTCTGGATCCGTAAGGCCGTACAACCGTTCGAAAACACCGAGACTCCGGTGGACGCCCGATCTCCATCTTCGCTTTGTTCATGCAATTGAAAGGCTAGGAGGACAAGAGAGTAAGACGATTAATCCTCCACAAACCCTCAATTTTCTTGCTGATTTATGCAATAAAAAGTGTGCTTTTATTGGCACAGGAGCAACACCCAAGTTGGTACATCAATTGATGAACATCAAAGGCCTTAGCATAGCTCATGTGAAGAGTCATCTACAGGTTATTTTCTTTCTCATCTTACTAAATTGTTTCATTGACCCTTGAATTTGGAGAGTTCCTTTTAACTAAATATCTCGAATTCATTCGGTAGATGTATAGAAGCAAGAAGATTGATGACCCAAATCAAGGTAAGTAAAAGCTTAATTCATTCAATCTATAGATTTTAGTGATGTTCTTCAAGGTTTATGAAAGTGTATATGTATTGCAGCTATGCCGGATCGAGGGTTTCGCTTTGAAGGTGGAGATCAGCACCATATATACAAATTCAGCCATCTCCCCATGCGCCACGGTTTCAATTATTGGAATCCTTCAAGTTCCCGGTATGAAAAGATGTTAGCGAGATGCACTGATTATATAATTCTAAGCTCAATTAATTAATTGGTTTTAATTATGTAGGGATGGGAAAAATGTGTATAGTTCAGTTGCAGAGAATCTATTTCAAAGCTGCAACAACAACAATTCACTTAGCTTTAGTTCAACACAGTAATAAGGCCAAGTAGAACAATGTGCTCAAATTATTTCATGCATCTAAAGAGGAAGACGATGGAAAGCAACAACATTAACCAAGACATAGATTTGAACCTGTCCTTGAAACTAACAACGACAGCAAACAATGACGGAGTTGAAAAAGGGTTGGATGATAGGACCTTGTCTCTTTCGTTGGCTTCATCTTCTTCAAGACTCAGTGGTGGTGATGGTAAGAAACAGTCGAGGACGACAATGGCAAGTACTCTAGATCTCACTTTATGAATGAGATAATTCTGAGTGAGATCTTGAAGTACTTGTGTCTGAATGCACTGGTATAAAATCAACTGTGAATTGATCATCATCGATATATTGTTTCGATTATATTAAAATCAAATGTGAATCATTGTCGAAATTAATACCAGAACGTGCACAAAAGGCCAATCAAATCAACCCCCGCTTTGTTTCATTTTTCTTCTTTTTGTTGTTCCCATTGTTCATTGTGCATGGATTCCGAGAAAAATATTGAGCATTGCTAGATATGCTCGTTGGGGATCTAGCCTAGTTTATGTCTTTGAAATTGGTTGCCACTGTAAGGAAAAGACAACAGTTTCAAGTTGTTGTGCATTGATGAAAACAGGATAATATAATTAAGAGTGAGTAAAAATATTATAATTTTCAGGGACAGTCATCCAACTATGTTAGAGGGAATCAAGGAGAGATCTCTGCTGCATCTTCTTGTTTTTTTATAAAAAAAATTTGTCTTTTTGCTGAATGCACACATTTTCTATATATGAATTTATAGAAAAATCTGATAAATACAAAACATGCACTTGAAGACGCCTCCCAAGGCTTGAACGTCGACTTTCTCCGACAGGTCGTATGGGGGCCGGAAGCCATGCATGCATTATAGCAAATTTTGTTAACAGCTTTTGTGTTGTATTAATATGACAGATTGACTTGTCCACATTTCACCGTCAATTTTGGCATTCATGCCAAACCAAAGTCTTGTAAGAGGACACTTCATTTATATTTCTCATGTACTCTTAATTTCCATGCTACTCTTAAAAGTCTGAATCCATAGCGGAGAAAACATCAATAACATGAATCCATTATAATGGAGAGACTGACAAAATTTTGCATCTCACGTATGATACAAGGACTCGGAGAAGAATTTAATTTAAGGTAAACTATGCATTTAGTACCTAAACTATCAATTTTGGTCCATTTTAGTACCTAAACTTAAAAAAAATCAAAATCATGCCTAACGTTTAGTTTTATTTCATTTTAGTACCCCGCCATTAAAAACTTACCAGACTAGCTGGTGGGACATAGCTTTGGTGGACGGATGACCAATCGGAACGAGACCACGAGAGAATGATGAGTCGCCAACATAGTATAGTTTCAGGCCCATTAGATGGTTGACATCGGAGATCGTAGGATGAAGAAGTCGAAGAGTCATCGTCGATTTGGGGATATTGTGGTATTTCCGATGAAAATGACTAGAATCACGTTCAGAGGGTCGAAAAGGTGTGAGCTGGAAAGTTTGTGCTTCATCGAACAACGGATGCGGCAACCAGTGATTGTAGACGTGGTGACTGGCAAGCTCATCCATTAAGTTTTTAACGATGGGTACTAAAATGAAATAAAAACTAAACATTAGATGTAATTTTCAAAAATTAAAAGTTTAGATATTAAAATAGACTAAAACTAATAGTTTAAGTATTAAACGCGTAACTTACCATTTGATTTATTAGGTTCTAATAGTAACAATCAAAGCCTATACTAAGATCCAAAAGTTAATTATGGACTTGAAAGAAATGTAAACCCAATCAAAGCCTATTTAGCTCAGCGGCAAAGCCGAGAATAAATCCGGAAAGGGCCTCTGGGAACTCAACAAAACTGACAAGACCAAGATTTTCACCAAGCATGGGCCACAATTAATGGATGAGTATTCCATCCAACTGAGTTAAATTGAATGAAAAATTAAATTTGTCGAGTTGATATATATTATTTTATTATTTAGATTTTATTGATTTAAGCTAAATTCAATATTTTTATTTTATTTTATATAAATTTAATTATAATTATTTATAATATTATGATATTAATTTTTTTAAATTTAAACGAATATCTTTAATCACATGTAATATGCATATTTATTCATAGTTATTTTTATAGTATAAATAAAATTTATAATATTATTTAACAAAAAATATAATCTAAAATTATATGATATATATTTATAATATTATTTCTTTTAAATAGAATAATGATAAAAGGCATAAAAGAATCAAAAAAATTGATAGAAAAAATAATTTATAAAAAATTTATAGTTTGAAGAAAAAAAATAATTAATTATTAAAAAATTATAATTTAAGGGAAAATTTTTTATATAATACAAAATTGAAGGATTAAATTAAAAAATAATCCTTTTTATTAAAAATTAAAGTTGTATTGTAATCTTCTATTGTCAAGGAAAATGTAATTCAAATTTGATAAAAAATGAACTTAAAATGAAAGTTGAATTAAAAAATTATATAAATCAGGTATCAAATAATAAAATAATTTAATTATAATAAAAAACTTTTTTTATTATTCAGTTTTTAAATTATTTAAATTTTAAAATTTAAATTCAATTGAATTGAGTAAAAGAATAAAATGCCTTTTTTTATGATTCTAATGCTGTTTTATTTATTTCTAACCCCAACAAATGTAAAAAAGAAGAAACCAATGGTGATCTGAATTTTGAGAACAAAGAGAAGAGGTTATTAGATCGGTCCCTGAGGGGCAATACAGTCAAGAGACAAGTAGGAACATGTTTAACAGTTGAGTTTTTGAGCTCATTTTCCCGGGCTGTTTTTCTCTGCGTTTTTACTCTAACAATCAATAATTACCAATCAAACACATTTTCTTCACTTATTACCGATCTAGCACATTTTCTGAAATAGTGATAATAAAGTACGTTTTAAGATAAACGCCTTGCAGACGTGAAAGAAGGCGCGGATCATGAAGCGTGTATTCCTGGGGTTCTATCTAAGCTGGCGTCAAGGTGGAAAAGAACGGATTGTAATCCGAGCCTTAGAGGGGAATTTGACACGTGGCAAAAAGCGCAGATCATGATCCCCGCTTTTCATTAAATTACCACATACCCCTTTAATACCGCCCCCCCCTCCCCTCCCCCTCCCCCTCACTCCTATAAATACCCTCCCATACAACACTCAAACCACATCCAAAAAAATTTATTATCTTCCTATATCAATTCTTGTAGCAAACTTTAAGTAAGTTTTACTATTATTTTTGAAGCTATAAATTTTTTATTATATTATAATTATTTAATAATTTATTATTTAATTATTACTTAATTTACTAATTTTCTTATTACTTTTTGCAGTTATAAAATGGAAGGCAGATTGTTGTGTTTAGATAAAAATCATATCTCGAGTTATTTTAATGATACGATAATAATTTTAAATTGTGTTATTTTAATTATTGTGAATGCTTTTTTAGTATTAGTTTATATTTTAGTTTGTATATTATTTATTTAATTGGGGGGATGATCATATATTATATCCATTTATTCGTAACGCTAAGTTAGATATACCAAGTCGTGTCTAGCCGTATTTAGCTGAGGCTGAATTTGGTTACATAGTGAAATATGAAGGACACTGTAACCTTTAATCCAGCCTTATTTATGCACTGATTGAGAGTTAGAGACCAGAGATACATACATTCCATCTTCTGTGTGGGGAGTACACTATTACAAAGCTTATGGTAGATGGAGATGTTATTTATGGTGTGGCAGATGATAATTGACATTCTTTGTGCAGTGAGTATCTTGGAGGTATCCCGCCTAATTTCAATGGTGGTCGAATACTGTTATCATAGTTGGTTACAAATTTTCAACATTTAAATGAAGACTGTAACAAGGAAAAACTAAAATATTTGCCTGAGCCTGCATATTACAAATCATATGAGGGATCTTAATGCCCGATAAATCTCGTAACCAAGTTCATTGTATGTGGTTGCATCATCTAGAAGATTTTCGCATTGCTGGTGGACTCAATTGAGGCTTTACAGTTTTGGCATCTCTTTATAGAAAAATGTGGCAGGCAATTGATTATCAAAAAAATTCTATCGACGGATGTCTCATTCTTCTCCAATCATGAGTGTGGTATCGCATGCCCCTTTTTATGCCCAGTATTGAATAACTCGTAAGTCTTCCCATTATTATTGAACTAATTTCAATACTGAGCCCGTATATAAATAATTTTTTGAGTATTGTAACACCCCCAACCCGTACCCGACCCGGATACGAGTCCGAGATGTCACATTTGTAACATCCTCAATATCGGGTTAGTGATTAAAGTGTAAGATTTTAAAATTCAATGACCAAATTAGATAAATTGAAAAGTGAATGAATTAATTGAAATGTATTGTGTAGGATAATTTAACAAATGAAAGAGAAGGAAAGGGGCAAAAGGGTCAATGAACAAAGGAAATAATAAAGTAATAATTAATGAGTATTATAATACCCAAGTGGAGCATATGTTTGGAAATCAAGTTTCCAGACTTATCTTCTTCATCTTCTTCTCTTCTCCAATGTGAAGCACCCCAAGCGAAGGTGAGTTTCTTAATTAGTTGATTATTTGTTGAATTAAAGGTTGGGTTATGATCCTAAGGTGATACTTAAGCTTAAGGAAAGCTTAATTTGTCTTATAATCAAAAGATTAAAAAGAATGTGTTTCAAAGTGAATTTCTGAAAAAGAGTTAATAAATGAACTTTGAGATGGAATTTGACTTGTCATAGGTGTGAATAAG